TAATTGCTGCTCCCTGAGACCTTCTTTCTCCGTATACGTTTGACAGGTCAGAAGTTCTAGCGAACAAATAGCACGGTTATCCCTCAGCCATGTTTTTTATTTCTCTCAAAATCTATACTGAGTGAACAAGTTAACATTTACCTGATTTAGACAGGTGACTTTTAGATCAATGGATGAGGTCTCCAATGTTTGCTGCTCGATAACATCACTCAACTTGTAAGAAACCGTACCAAGGTGGTCAATTGCGTTGACCAGCGCACGTACAGCATAATCCTTCATATTGTCCATGAACTTGATGGAGAAATTATAAAATCTACATGTTAAATTTAAAATTCGAGTCACCGAATACACTTCAATTTTTTTCCCTAATTAGCACGAAGATCAAGCAAAAGAGAAATATTGTGATTTGTGAAATTTTCATTCTCGTCAGACGAAAAAACTAACAAGAGACTGAACAAACATTCTCAAAGACTAAAGTTCAGAGAATAAATTGTAGATCAAATGATTCCTTTATATTGATCAGTCAAGTTGGACCGAAATCTCACGTTTGTTTCTGCTCACTGTTCAGATATGACTAGTATTCGACCTGTGCAAATGCACAGATATAAATAAAGTATTGTGAGTTATTTGTATGCATATAATGATTAATGATTTTTTTTGCACTTTTTTGCAAGGCAAACTTTGCGTTTGTTATATTGGATGTAATGTATATTTTGGTATGTATTTTTTTTTGTGAATTATTTAATATTTATTTATGAATTTCAAATACGTTTTTTATTTTTCAAAAGAAGTTAATTTAAATGTAACCACAACAATGACATCTAATCACATTAAATAGTCAACAAATTATATGGTCATCTGTAAGTAAATCAAGAGTTTAAAATAATTTTTGTAATTTTGAAGTGATTAGTGTGTTGATTATCTAATAATTAAATGAGAGGTTAAATAAATAAAAAGTAACGGTTTTTGGAGGGAAAAAATAATATTGCCACATAGGTATAATTTAATAGGTTTTATTAAATGCTCATGAGCCAGCAATTATATATATATATAGATTTTTCACAGTACTCTGCAGCTGAATACAGTTGAGGTCTGAGGTTCTTCAGTTCCTGTAAAAATATAAGACCCTCCTAATGATCAGACATGATTTGTGAATTATAAATAAAGTACAAGCACACAGAGCGAATGTGAATTCAAAAAACTCAACCGATCTATGAAACTTTACGCAAAACTAACACAACTTTCAGTCCTTCTAACAACTGATCCATAACTCACAACCAACACTTGACCTCAAAACACTATACAAGCAGATTTACCTGCAGTGCCGTGACGAAGCTCTTGCTTTTCTCCACCGACATCTCTTCAAACGTCGCCGTTTGCTTCCCTGTCTCCACAGAACTACAAATCTCGGTCACGCACGCAAAAACCCACACATTCACGCTGAAATTCCGATCATCAAAACACTTTGTTTATCTCTATTTGAACGAGAATGGTACCTTGTGTTTCACCTGAAGCTTCGAGATGAACAAATTTATGGAGCAACTATGACGAGGAATTTCCAGTCTGGTTAGGATAGATTTGGAGTTAAGAAAAGCATATTTACAGAATAAAAAAGGGCTGTTCATGTGAAGTGTGTGTATGTGTGTGTGAAGCAACTCGAGGAATTGCAGCTGTGAGCTGTCGATGTAAATTTGGACGGTAGGTTGTGCCTAAGAGAAAAGCGACGTCGTTTGGACTTCGAATATTTTTAATTTTGTTGAAAAGGAAAGGTAAAGGACCAATTGGACCGTGTTATTGAGAAGTGGCACTGNTTTTTTTTTTGGTACAAAGAGAGAGGCTAAAAGCCTAGAGGTTTAAAACGGGCACATCCCTTTGATAGACGACTCCAATAAGATCATGTTGTAGCCAATGTCGTACTCCATCTGGAGGAACATGATAGAACTGATATCCCAACGAGCCGTCCGATGCGAAGGAAGCCAGATAGTCGGCTGCAAAATTCGCTTCACAGAACACATGTTTCAGCCGTACCTCCCACGGACGACTTAATAACTTTTTATCCCCGACACCAAGCCTATGTGGATCCCCGACGCATCTTCAAGGGAGGTGACGAACGCCACGACACTTTTATTATCGACTTCTGCTTCCACTCGTCGAAATCCCAAATCCCACGCCAGTGAGAGTCCCCTAAACAAACCCCATAAGTCCGCTGCCATTATCGAGCACACTCCAATTTTTAAAGTGAAACCCCCCAGCCACCGACCTTGATCATCGCGGGCCAGGCCGCCCGCACACCCCAAACCCGACGCCACATTAAAGGAGCCATCCGAGTTGATCTTAACCCACCTCGAAGGGGGCTTTTCCCAACAAATCCACCATGAGGTTCTCAGTAATCCCGTCCCACCAAGCTTACTGTCACTCTCAATCACCTTCGCGAGGCTGGCCACATAAGACGTTATCTCTTGTACTGCACTATTAACATCACGTTTTTTCCCCTAAAAGAGATGCTCATTCCGCCATTTCTATAATTTCCACACCACGACTCCAAAGAGACAACTGAATTAAATGAACCTATCATTGGTTTGTCTTTATTTTAGGATAGTGCTATCAACTTTTTCTATATTTCGTCTCTTAAATTAATATTTATTCTCTATCGTTTCAAAAAAAAAA